GCTTTCTCAGCTGTATGTAAACTCTTTCCTGGGTTTAGAGTTCCTTCATCTGCTGGATCTCCGATCCAGCATCCTCTTGGTTTTGCTGAAACTCCACTTTCCTCTGTCTCTTCAGTCCTCGCTTATGGTCACTTCCTGGCTCACTTTCAAATATCGTGATTAACCTGCAGCTGTCATGACGCAGTCACTGGCGCACAGCATCATCCTGGTTTGGCTCTATACTTTTTGCTGTGGTTTCGCACTAACACGTTTCAAGTAATTTTGTTGCTTTTTCTGTTTCGCTTATTTAATTACACGAATGATCGCTTATTGCTACGTTCGGTACTTTGATTAGTTTGTTTTTACTTATCATTCTTTTATTTTCCTTTGCTTTAAACTTTCATGAATCTGGGCTTTCAGGCATGTGCGCACTGGCACATACGTATGCTGTTCGGCTATTACACGTGCAATGTTTTGTATGCCTAATACCATTCGGTAGTTGTAGGGCTTTCGTCCCTTGCAGTCAAATGCTTCATTTATTGTTTTATTCTGTTCTATATACACTAACAATTTGGCTACCTGACGTTTGTGTAATTTTCACTTGAATGCTCCCTGTAGGTTGTTTAATTCGATTCTCATGACCATCTACACGAATTGTATTGTACTACACGTACCAGATTTGTCAGGTGTTTTTGAGACAAGCAGTGGAGGACCTCTAGTGGTCTTTGTTCATGTGGCATCTTGCTCATAGATTTGGATCTCTTCTCAATTATGTCTCATGTTTGTTTACTCATGTTGGTTGTTTATCACTGGTATGTTGTTGTCAATTGTTGTATGACAGATTGCATGTGTTCCTGAGTTTTTATGTATTATGCTCACATGTCTGTTTGTTATTTGGTCAGGTACTTGTACAGATTGTGGGTGTTCCTTTCTTGTGTCTGCTGTCCTGTTCATAATGGCCTGTTATCGGATAGGTTCCATTATTTGGAATGCTGTATTATGTTGCATCTACTTTTAGGTGGGACCCAGCTTAGGGGGTTATTAGTCAGGTTCATTGATCAATTTTGTATCTGGTGTTTCAATTTCAGTTTTCAGGGTGCTCATCGTACAGAGTAATGTTACGTTGATGCCTCCTTCCATGATGTTTTTTATGAGTTGCCCACAATATCATTTAATGTCATGGGTCCACGATCTGGCCCTTGCTACTCAAACATACTCTGATACATACATACGTTTCCATTTAGGTGTTTGGGTCCTGTGGGTATATTTATGGGATAATAATAGTAACAGTGAGAATTGCCCACTAATTCAATTCTCAGACCCAAATATCATTATCGTGTTAAGTGACAAGTATTTCATATAAATAATATCACATTTTTATTATAAAAATAGATTTTATTTTATAATGACAAATTAATTAATAATAATAATAATGATATGTAACATGCGTGACAATAATCAATGAATATCCAGTATAAAATGGTATGCAATACAAAGGAATGGCTAAACACGTTTCAATGGGTAAACAGCATTTTCTGTCAAGACTTTTACGATTTATGAGGTATCCTTACAGACTGAAAGGAAAACTTTTCACAGCGAAGGGCCATAAAACCCTGGCTAACAGTTAGAATAACCCTTTCAATGCTGGCTAGATCTCCTAAGTAATTTAAGATCTATTCTTATGTAATTTTAAATAAAATAACATTTAAACCAGTTCATTAGTCATTTCCTGGAACCATCCAATAAGAGAATCTACCATGATTATATAAGCAGATTTTAATTTTAATTTGTCTAAAAGATATCTATCTTAATTTAGAGCAAATCAATACACCTGGATAAAAACAACGGTATGCTACCACGTGATAATATCACATTAATATATAATTATTCTTAATTCCACCTGCAGAATGGAATGGTTATAACTATATATCTTTAGTTAACTAAGATTTCTTAATATGGAAATCTGACCGTGCTTTATCCAGTCATATATAATGCTATTAATACATTTTAATTAATTTAATTAATTAAATGAAACCAGTATAATTACCAGTTGAGTAGATATTTCATCCGATTGGTAGATAGTCTCAGGAACTTATTTGGATGTCTGTCTGCATTGAGTTATGGTGAAAGGTGGTGTTGGTTAGAAAGTCAGTGAAATTCTAAGTGTTAGAGTTTTAAGAGTAGAGTGTTAGTCTCAGATGTTGTCCTGGGTTTCTCTGCATGTCCAAGTTGGAGTCCCCAAACTTCCAATTCCTCTCTCCTCTTTTTCCTTCTCCTCTGCATCTCCCTGTCTTCCCTTTGTCTTAACTTTTAAAGGGCCAGACTCTCTGTACGTCATCATTTGATAACCCAATAGAAGCACTAGAGGTGTGGTTATCTTCCAGATCGCAATTTAGGTATTTGGTCTATAGAGGGCAGTCTTGTCCCACTAAACATACCTATCCAGGAAAGAGTTAACTTTTCCTGGTGGCTATTTTGAAGTCATTTTGCGTTATCTTTATAGTGCCATAACTTAAAATTTCAAAGGGTTTCTTTAAGTTTTGTCCAGACTATGTGTCTGGCAAATCTGAGTTTTGACCCATAACTTACAATGGGACCTTATACATATAGACAGTCTGTCTAACCCCCCTTTTTCTTATCACTTGGTTTGTTTATAGTATGCATTCCTTTAGCTCTGGGAAAGTGGTTAGTTTACAGATAGAAATCTTGTGTCTTTTTGTTAACTTGGAAATAACAAAATGGAGTCTGGTCTGTTCAAAGTGACTCAGAATATACACTTTTAATTTCTATCATAGCACAAGATGTCTGCCGATATAAATACCCTGACAGTCCGCAATCTGGCCCTTACTACTCATACTCTAATACGTACATAAGTTTTCCTTTTCGATTCTACTCCTACATCAGTTACTTAGGCCCGTTTCTACACTGTTCAGCACGAACCTGGTAGGTTTTCATGCATACATATATACTCTCAACAAGTTTCACTTCAATCAGTCCTACAACATTATCAATTCCTCTCGTGGGTCTCACCCTTACGAGCTCTACTCATAACATGCTCCATACCTGACTGTACATATCCAGGTATTTTCATATTTCATGCTATGACTACTCTACCTTATGTCCCTCTACCCCCCATATCAGTCTGCTTTTAAACACTTACTCGTTCTGATCTGTACGATACACTTCCTATATTTGCTACCCCCTCTTAGTTAACTGTTACTGGCTGTCAGGGTTCTAGGAGTCCAGTAGTTGTAATTTCCCAGGCCTCTATGCGTTAGGTTAGTGGTCCCGTGAGGCCAACACCCATCCTCATACTTAAAGGTACTATACCCCTTGGACCAAATCATAGTTAGTCGCCTCGCATGGTGGCATAGAGAGGGCCTCACCTGTCACTCCCATTCTATCTTATGTTTAAAAGTCACAGAGAGGCTAACACCCCACCACAACATTTCGGTGGCCACGAAATCCAACGCATAGTTAGAGCCTCTTAAGCTGCTTGGGAACTAGCTGGGCATCACCTATCACCAACCTAGCATAATTGTTTCGCCACTTGGCATTAGCTAGTAAGCCAGTACATATTGAAGCTGTACCCTAATTTTCAATTTTTCTAATAAAATAAATAAAATAATTTCAATATATATATTGAAATGTGCTGTATTTCTATTACAATAATATGTGACTCCATCTCTGTGGGCTAGGTATAAGGCAACTATGCTGGCACTGGGATTATTTGTTTGTATGTATCACTACATTACCTTAGTTGTGTTTGGCACATTTGTGTGCCTCAATCTAATTCATGTCAGCATTAAAATTGGGATTACCATCTAGCAGTTACTTTAACAGTTGATGTGGCTGGTGGTCTGTAGATCTCTTTGAAAATAATAATAAAAAAAAATTATAATAATAAAAGTAAATAAATAAATAAATAATTGAACTAAATCTCATGTTTCCCCAGACTGTGAACCTTTCCCTTGTCCAGCAGTTTCTATTTCCCAAATGGCATTGTTCAAACGTTATGGGTGAGATGCATGCTGCAGTCTAGTTTGCCTGAGGTTCGCGAACTCTAGCATCAAAAATAGTTCCATAAACTCGACAATCATGTACCTCTGCCCTCGTTCTTAGGTCTAGATGGCCGGCATTCGCTAATACAAGTGCGTTTGTTTTTTAAGAACGGCGACCACCCAGGGAACGTTTTAATTAAATACTTCCACGATTCTTATGATTGTGTTTAACGCCGTGTGGCCTTTTTAGAAGCAATCAGCCTTTTTCCTGCTCTTAGGAGTACCAGTGTTATCCAGGCACGGCCCGATTTCATTTCCAGGCAGGCCAGTCTGCCCGGAGTGGAAATAGACCTCATGCTCATTTGCATAAATCAATACATACAAGCCAGGTCAAGCTGTTGTTAGGGGTTACAGTCCTTGCCACTGTCCTTCGATTTTGCAGTGGGGTTTTGTTCCTCAAGGCCGATCCTTTATATCTAAGCTATATAACTAGGCCTTTTTCATGACCTTCCTAACAATGACAGCCGTATCACACTGGACACCCATGCTACGGCAGGCTTACTCATATGGAATAGGTTCTTGCTCTCTTGGTACGGGAGTAGGATGTTTTTATTCCCGACATCTTGACACTCCACAGGGCCCAACCTATGGCGTCTCCAATAACCACTGCTGCCGCTGCGTTCCAGAGGGTGATCATGGTCTATGTCACTGATTTGGCTCACGGTCACGAACCTTCACAAAATGCGCTATCCGCAGATCTAACATATGATAGGGTTTCTTTTTTTTTGAGGTTCATGTCAGAATGCTTGCTATGTTGTGTTTACTAGGACTTGCTTACTTTTGCCACCTTATACTTACATTATCTCACAACATCATTTAATTAAATCTATCCTGTATACAACATCATATGTTGAACTCTTTCTAAACAGACATAGTTTCATGTCTTCATATCAATTTACAACAATACTCATATGCATAGGCGTGTGCAGCCTATTGCATTAGGGTGTGCACCCTAAAGCACAAACACACGCAGCGTGTATATGTATGTGTGTGTGTATATATATATATATATATGCATATATATATATATATATATATATATATACACACACATACATATACACGCTGCGTGTGTGTGTGTGTGTGCTGCATGAGGGTGGTTTGAGGGTGTTGAGTGTGTAAGGGTGCTGTGTGTGTAAGGGTGCTGTGTGTGAGGGTGCTGTTAGTGTGATGTGTTTGTTAGGGTCCTGTTAGTGTGCTGTGTGTGTGAGGGTGCTGTGTGTGTGGGTGCTGTATGTGTGAAGGTGCTGTGTGTGTGTGTGGGTGCTGTATGTGTGAAGGTGCTGTGTGTGCTGTATGTGTGTGTGTGTGCTGTGTGTGTGTGTGTGGTGTATGTGTGTGAGGGTGCTGTGTGTGTGTGTGTGTGCTGTGTGTGCTGTGTGTAGGTGATGTGTGTGTGATGTGTTTGTTAGGGTCCTGTTAGTATGCTGTGTGTGTGAGGATGCTGTGTGTGTGGGTGCTGTATGTGTGAAGGTGCTGTGTGTGTGTGTGGGTGCTGTATGTGTGAAGGTGCTGTGTGTGTGCTGTATGTGCTGTATGTGTGTGTGTGCTGTATGCTTGTGGGTGCTGTATGTGTGTGTGTGCTGTGTGTATGTGTGTGCTGTATGTGTGTGTGCTGTGTGTCTGTGTGGGTGTGTGTGCTGTATGTGTGTGGGTGATTGTGGGGGTGGAGGTGGGGGTTCATTACTTAATATCCCCCCTCCCTTCTTACCTTATGTAGGGAGGGGGGATCATGCTGCTGCTTTCCCTAGTGGTCCAGTGGAGAGTGAACTGTGGCCCCTGTGGGGCTAGAGTTCACTCTCGCGAGATCTGAGCGAGATCCTGAGATCTCCCCTGCCGGTCTCAATACATAGGCGTGCCGCGGGGATTAGGGTGTGCCCAGGCACACCCGGCACACCCCGTGCGCACTCCTATGCTCATATGTGCTGTATGTGTGTGGGTGATTGTGGGGGTGGAGGTGGGGGTTCATTACTTAATATCCCCCCTCCCTTCTTACCTTATGTAGGGAGGGGGGATCATGCTGCTGCTTTCCCTAGTGGTCCAGTGGAGAGTGAACTGTGGCCCCTGTGGGGCTAGAGTTCACTCTCGCGAGATCTGAGCGAGATCCTGAGATCTCCCCTGCCGGTCTCAATACATAGGCGTGCCGCGGGGATTAGGGTGTGCCCAGGCACACCCGGCACACCCCGTGCGCACTCCTATGCTCATATGCATATGAACAAGTGCTCAAGTAACTTTATTCTTTCATTTTCAATTAACTCTTATTGAAAAAAAAAATACAAAACAACATGTTAAACAGAACATACATAGTGTGACATAAAATGAAACCGAGGGTGAAAAGTAAAAAGGAAAAGGTAAATTAAAAGTATAGATAACACATATGAAACAAATGTGTTATGGATCACAACTACTGAGAAAGTTAAAACGAGTAAGCAGATACAGAAACAAAACAAAACTGTTTACAGCCCCAGATAGTGTTAATATTTAATTGCAAAACTAACTAATGAAATCTCTGAAACAGTCATATATCTGAAATCAAATGGTACTCCTGAAAAAGGAGGGTTAACCGAATAAAACACATACATTGTGTGGATACCTTATGGAAAAAAAAAGCTGAAAAATATTGAATCAATAAATAAAAAGAATTCTGCTCTGCAGTTTCCAATTTATAAGTTGTTTAAAAAAAATTCAAACACTTCAAACTACTTTTTTTACTATATTGTCTTAGAAACTCTGCCAGGACTCTTTAAATATAATATATTAATAAAATAATAGGATTGGTAGAGATTGGTGGTGTAGTATTGGCACTGTGTTTATTAGAATGTGTATATGGCATGCACTTCACTTTCATATATAGCAGCTAGGTACATACATACATAGATGCATACATACACATTAAATCACTAGTTTGAAACAACACACTAATTAGTTGAAATACAATATCACACATACACATATTTTTTACTCCTCACACTAACACAACACTTGTATACATATTTATTTTGTTGCATTTATGCATTAATATCGTTCTTAGACCTAAAGATTCATTTTGGATCAAACTGCAATTCAGACGAAATTCTGATTTCTGAGCCGCCATGCACTATACCTTAACATGCTCAACTTAATTCTTGATTTTGAATGCCATTCCTGATACCATAAAAAGGAGAAGGAGTGGAGAAGTGTACATTTTTGGGGTGGGAACAAATAAACAGCTTAGTTTGCCATGATGGACAAGAAGCCTGCTCTGTCATGTGGGCTGGATCTCCTTTCAAAGACTAGTCCATCAAGTCCATCAAGTTCAACCGTGAAGCTCATTCTTTTATGCTATTGATCCAAAAGAAGAGAAAAGAAATGTTGTAGCTAATCATGCCAAAAATTGGGTACAAATTCTTCTTAGCTCCATAATGGCAATATGAGTTTTCACTGGATCAACAACCTGTTTACATACATATCATTTATATCTTTAAATATATCTTTTATGCAAAACAGCATCCAAGCCTTTTAAAAAAAATTATCTATAGAATCTGATAACACAATCCCTTTAAGCAGAGAATTCTTAAAGAACCCATTACTCTGCTGTGAGTGAAAACACATTCTCAATTGGTAACCTCTTGTCTGTTCTATATTCCTGCTAATGAACAGTTTAGCACATAGTAGTTTGCACTGACTCTGTATAAATTTGTATAGTACTATAATTTCTATCATTTCCTCATAACTAATGTTTCCATTCCCCTTATTAGTCTTGTAGCTCACCTGTGCACTTTTTTCTAGTTATGCAATATCCTTCTTTAAAACTGGTGTCCAAAATTGAATAGTTGCATCTGAACAAACCACAAGTCTTCTAGAACATTGCACTTTGCACATTTGACCTCAAAGTGAAGCTGTTTGTCCATAATGCACAGTGCAAAAACCAAACACAACACAAACAGCTCATATACATTGCCAAAGCACAGGGGTGGAAATGTGATGATTTGAGCCTATTTGGCATCCAGCTTTTATTGAATTGACTATGAACTCCTCTGTATACCAAAGTATTCTAGAGTCAAATGTAAGGCCATCTGCCTGACAGCTACACCTTGGCCAAAATTGGGTCATGCAACAGGACAATGATACCAAGCACATCAGCAAATCTACAACAGAAAGGCTGAAATAGAAAATAATCAAGATGTTGCAATTGCCCAGTAGAAGTCCAGACCTCAACCTGACTGAAATGCTGTGGCGGGACCTTAAGAGAGAAGTACATGAACAAATGCCAGAAAACCTTAATAAACTGAAGCAACTTTGTAAAGAAGACTGGGCCAAAATTCCTCCACAATGATGTGAGAGACTGATAAATTCATACATAAAACTATTACTTCAAGTTATTGTTGCTAAAAGTGGTTCTACAAGTTATTGAATCATAAGATGTACTTAAATGACACTGGGTGGAGCAAGATGACGTAGCATGGCATCTTGCATCCTTGTGGAATATGACTGAGGGAGCGATCGAGGGAGCTGAGGAAACGACCCGACTTACTTGGTGTGCCACTCAGGGTGCCGCAAAACAGAGATGCAGGGGGATGTAGGGAGCTTTCCTTACGCCGGATAAAGCCAAAGCCAACCAAATAACACAAGGGAGCAAACCCTTGCGAACATATTCAAAGTAAATATAAAATAAGGCCAACAGAAGAAAACAGCAAGTGGGAGTACACCTCCATAAGCTAAGTGCCAATTGCTACCAATGTTCTGTCTGTTTTCATTCTATGTTTACTCTGCAGAGGCTGGTAAAAACATTGAGTCTCCTGACAATTAGTGAACCCCTAAGAAGAGGGGAAATAGAGATATGATAGAGAGCTGTGTACAGGGGGCAATAGAAGATTTAAAGACTATTTAAACCCAGTTAATCCAGTTAATTTCTGCCAATAATGTGGGACAGATTACTAAAAAGGTCTGCAGTGAGCCAGGTGGAGTTGCCAGGAGGCTTTTGTTACTTCTAGTGCCTTCTTTTATTTATTGTCTGTATCTTTCTCTTCGCTCATACACCACTGTTGACTCTCAATCAATGTTTTCTAGGCATAGAAGAAAAACTAAATGGATTGGAACAAACAGAAAAAGTCCACAAAGAAGAACATTTGGCGCTGGAAAAAAAGATGGCTGACATGGAGAACAAACTGATAGACCTAGAGGACCGGTCAAGACGGATCAACTTGAGAATTATAGGAGTATCAGAAGAAATAAATCAAACAAAATCTGGAATCATACATAGAGGAATTCTTTAAGCATCTGAAGGTGGAATGGGACCCCATAATTCCCATAATGGAAAGATGCCACAGAGTGAACAAACCCAAGGGTGTCCCAGAACATCTTCCAAGAGATGTATTGTTATGCTGCGCCTCCTCCAAAATTAAGTAGCAAATTCTGAGAGCCATAAGAAGCAATAAATGCACAGAAGAATATAAAACATTGAAAATATTCCAGGACCTGTCATGGCCAACCAGACAAAAAAGGAAGACTTTCTCTGACGGCACACTAATTCTGAGCCAGAACAACATTACTTATCGATGGGGATTCCCAACGCGAATTATCCTATCTCACAAAGGAAAGACCTTTAATTAATAATGCAGAAGACCTAAAAAGTTGGTTTAGCAAAAATAAAATCGGAAACAGCTCCAGCCACTAGTCAACAAATGGAGAGGCCCCAACTATAAGAGGGGATAGAAAGGAAAAAAGAAAAATGTCACCAGTGGCACTCAACCTTGTAACAAGGGAAGACAAAAAATAATATTTAAGAAAGAAGAGAAATTACAGAGTTTTTTTTTTTTTTTAGTTTTTTTTTTTAATTCTTTATTTTATTCGTGCATTGAAATAACAAGCAGTTTTGCACTGCCATGACAGCTGGTGCAAACATAAAAACAAAAAACAAACATGCGGTAACAGTAATGTGGCATAAGAAACATTGCACATTTTTTATATAAACAAGATTAAGTCACTTTGGTTGTTATGTGATTGTCAGACTACAGGCTATGCATGTCAACATCTAGTACAGGTTTCTAACTGCTTAATTAGATTTAACCATGCTTAATAGGATTTTATCTTTCCTCA